TATTTATTTAATTTTGTTAATCGTAGTACATATATATATGCTACTATTAGTAATGTTAATAATGTTATTGGAACAGACGCTCCTCGAAACAATACTCACGTAAAGAACCGAACGGCGGGACTGTACTCACTGTACTGCCACTTAGTGTCTGTTATTGTTTTGGTCGTAGACTGTCGCAGGTAGCTGTCGCACGTGTGATGTTAAACATCTCAGAAACATCGATGGAGAAATAATTGCAGCATTTAGTATACAGATTCTTCATATATATTTTATTAACGAAAAGTCGTGTCTTCGTTACAAATGATTAACAAAAAGTCTTGTATTCATTAAACAAAATAAAAATAAACGGTATCATTAGATTGACATTTTAAGTTAAACAAAAATCCATTACGCTCGACTGATATAATCGACTCTAATATAAATAAAAAAAAGTCCCAAAGATTTTTGGGATTACAAATACAAGCATACATTCCAGAATATCGGATTAAAAAGAATTATCCATTACGTTCGACTGATATGTAACACAATCGACTATATAAATAAAAAAAAAACAGACCCTATGATTTTTGGGCATATAAATATAAGCAGACATTTCGCAGTATCGGATCAGTCTTTTTGAGTTTGTTTCGTGAAGACACATCGCGATTCGTGGTTGTAGTTCATAGTTTTCTCTGCTTACCATCCATTGCATTTTTAAACGTTAAAATTCTATTTAACTAGTGTACTCTTTCATTTCGTACGCGACACGTTTCCTTCGGTATCAAACACAGCCTTTAATTTGTATCGGTCGCTTAAAATTACGTTTAAATTACATCACTTACAAACAAAGACTCCTGTAAATAACTATATACTGATTCATATAAAGTACATACTCCGGCGCGACGCTTCTAAACGGACTCAAACTAGCAAATGGATTTTCTCCACTATACAGATAGTTTACCTTTCTACCTAGGATAGTGTTTATTCTGTCTAACTCCTTCTTAAAGTTCTCTAATCTGAAACGACAAGTTAAGATAAACGGACAGTTTTGTTTCGCTATCAGCTTGATGGACGGCGCCCACGTTTCCTTACTGGACCCAAGTTCATGCTCCTGAATACCCAGATCAAATCCAACAACCAAGTTCGGTTTTACGAATGTCGGGCTGCGTACATAGTTCTCGTATAACATATCGTAAAAATCAAATGTCAAATGTTTGTTCTCCGGCAACATACGGTTATTGCAAACGTATTCCGGATTGATTTGAAGCTGTAATTCCGGCCCGATCATTATAATCGTCACTGGCATCGCGGTCCCTATTAAACGCGGCAAAACTTCCCACCCCATCAAGCAGAATTCTTCCGAGTAACACGCACCTACGACATGAATGACTATAGCTTTGCTTTTTGGGACATAGTTCAATAATCGCATAGCATGAAATAACGTCAAGGGACGTGTCAGATGTAGCGAGTGTTGGCCTATCAAGATATTGCGCGATATCTCCGAGTCAGACGAAATATTCCAATAAGCATTTATAAAGTCTTTCATGTTCTGAAATTTACCCTTGTCGGTAACGTGTCGCAAGTAACAACGCATATCTGGAGGACCGGTTTCTCCTCTTATAGCTGATAAATCTGAACGAAAACGTAGTTCTAGGGGAGCACAGATGTCCTTATGTTCGGTGCCGTTTACGTGATTTTTACAAAAGCTGGCAACACACTTGCGACAATCCTTCAACGACTGAGCGTTCCGTTCGTGGCAAATCAGACATTCTCTTGGAAAACAGAACATTTGCCCCTCTTCGAACTTCAATGGACGTCCCAGCTTGTTCGATATTAACAACATAAAGTAACTCTTCTTTCTTTCGTTCTCCAGAGTTTCACCCGAAGATGATACAGTTATAATGGGATTATCCATACTGTAGTCTCGCAACACGTCCTGAATAGCTTTGCACAAAGGTTTATGAAGCTTCCAGTGCTCCTTCTGATGTTCCTGACCACAATAGGAGATCATTCTGCAGCCACCGCACTTCTTTAAAAGGACACCGTCCCCGAATCCTTTGCATACGTGACACATGGTCGCATAGAACCACATGTTATATGCGTTAGGAATTTTTTCCTCCTTGTATTCTAATCCCATGGCTTCTGCGAGTCTTGCCCACATGGTCTCGTTATATCGAAGTCTCCTTCAGTGCAAAAGATATGTAATGTTTAGAATGTTGTGATTTCACAGGTTGCACCTGTAGGACGTGAGCGTTAAGTAAAACATATCACAGAATTGGAGGAATAATTAATTATTATTCGATGCGACAAATAGAAAGGATACTGTTTTTGCTGGCGTTATTAAATAGAGGATTCGTGTGCACTCGTGCACGTTCACGATCGCCTTCTTCGTGATGCGACAGTACTCGAGCACCAAGCTTTTCCAGACAGCTATCTGCTTAGCTCTGGTATCCGCGTGAGACTGAAGCCTGCAATAACAAATAAAGTGTAATCGTTAGATGCAATCTAGAGTGTGTTTTCGAATCGCCAGATCTGTAAATACGCTCTTCCTGTAACCACCTGTAACCTACATTTCTAATAATCGGCGACATGCAGGCTTCCGCCGAAACGCATTTTATATAGAAATATTTATTGAATTTCGTTAATCGTAGCAAATATATATGATACAATTAGTAATGTTAATAATCTCATCGGAACAGACGCTCCTCGAAATAATACTCACGTAAATTAAGGACGGCGGGAAACTTCACTGCTATACGGCCACTCGATTTCTGCGCCATTGTCTTGATCGTCAATTGTCGCAGGGATCTGTTTACAAGTGTGATATGAGAGATGTCATAACTATCGATGGAGAAGGTGCGGAGAGAGGACAGGAGAGGAGAAAATAACTACCATTTCGAAAATATTTGATATATGGTTTATTACAAAGATAAAAACTTTATTTTAAACAACTAACGAAAAGTCTTGCATTCATTAAACAAAATTAAAAAAAAACGGTCATTGCATTAATATTTTACGATAAAAAAAAATCAATTACGCTCGACTGATACAAAAACGACTCTAAAATAAAAAATAGACCCTGAAATTTTCAGGTATATAAATATAATCAGATATTCCGAAGTATCAGATCTCAGGTCTTTAGGAATTTGTTACGTGAAGACACATCGCGATCCGCAATTGTAGTTCATATTAAGTTTTCTCTGCGTTCCATCCGTTGTATTTTTAAATGTTAAATTCCATTTAACTATAGTGTATACTCTTTCATTTCGCACGCGACACGTTTTCCTCGGTATCAAACACAACTTTTAGTTTTTATCGGTCGCTTAAATCTTAAATTACTTACGCTTAAACTATATTAGTTACAAAGACTCCTATAAACAACTATGCACTGATTCGTAAAAAGTACATACTCCGGCGCGGCTTTTCTAAACGGACTTAAACCAGCGAATGGATTCACTCCACTATACAGATAGTTTACCTTTCTACCTAGGATTGTGTTTATTTTGTCTAACTCCTTCTTAAAGTTCTGCAAAGTGAAACCACAAGTTAAGATGAACGGACAGTTTTGTTTCGCTATCAGCTTAATGGACGGCGCCCACGTTTTCTTACTGGACCCAAGTTCATGCTCCTGAATACCCAAATCAAATCCAACAACCAAGTCCGGTTTTACGAATGACGGGCTGCGCGCATAGTTCTCGTATAACATATCGTAAAAATCAAACGTCAAATTTTTGTCCTCCGGCAACTTCCAGTGATTGCAAAAGTATTCCGATAAACGATGGGCTTTAAGTTGTAATTCTGGCCCAATCATTACAATCGTCACTGAGATCGCGGTCCCTACTAAATGTAAAAAAACTTCCCACCCCTTCAAGCTCAATTCTTCCCGGAAACCGGCACCTACAACATGAATGACTATAGCTTTGTTTTTTGGGACATAGTTCAATAATCGCATAGCATGAAACAACGTCAAGGGACGTGTCAGTTCTACCGAGTGTTGGCCTATCAAAATATTGCGCTGCATCTCCGAGTCGGTCGGAATATTCCAATGAGCGTTTATAAAGTCCTTCATGTTCTGAAATTTACCCTCGTCGGTAACGTGTCGCAAGTAACAACGCATATCTGGAGGACCGGCTTCTCCTCTCATAGCTAATAAATCTGAACGAAAACGTAGTTCCAGGGGAGCGCAGATGTTCTTGTGCTCAGTGCCGTTTACGTGATTTTTACAAAAGCTGGCAAC